CATTCAATGCTGACATTCCGTCTGCGTTCCTGGTGGCTATACATAATTTACTGCAAAAAAAAAACTTTTTAGCCTAATAAAACTTACTCAGTATAATTGCAACCACTTGAAATATGAAGTCAGGAATGGTCTCCTTCATAACCTCTACTATATTGCGCCACAGCACGTGTCTGTGGCTGAATGTCGCAAATACACAAACAATAAGGGCCCTACATTTAATTAATTTTAACTAATATTTTACTCGGAAAAAGTCTCAAAATCGAAAATATATTTACGAGATTTTCAAACCATTTGACTGAAAGTCTGCAACAATAGCGTGTGTGCAAATTTTCTGACCATTCCAAACTTTTTTCCCAGAATAATCATTAAATTATTGTGCAAAACCGACATGAAATGAAAAGCGTTGCATCGATTTCACTCAAATGTAGACTTAGAATTTTGCGATTATTATTCTTTATTTCCCCCTTGTTAAATCACCTTCTGAATATGAATTGCCTCCGTTTGTCAGTCCGTTTCGTCCGTCTGTTTGTCCGTCCGTCTGTCCGGGCGAACATCCGATGGTCTATGAGCTTCAATCCCGTCCATAATTGTAGTTAATAAAAGAAGGAAATCCCAGAAACCGACTGGTGTTAATTTTTAATAATTTATGGGGAAATGCCACATATAGATCAAAGAAAAAACATATAAACCCCAAATGTTGGCATGTCCGTCTGTCCGTCCATAACACTTCCGTGTCCGCTCTATAACTTTTAAACCGGGCTGATTTTTTTAAATAATTTGAAGTGATCACCATTGTGAGATGATGTGCAGAGTGCAATAAAATTGGGTTGGAACACCTAAGGTCAAGGTCACACTTATAGGTAAAGTGTTAAAATGTCTACATTTCTGTCCTCTTCTATCCAACTTTTTAAACAACTGATAATTTTTTAAATAAACTTGGCAGAAATGATTACCATTATGACATTGATGTGCAGAACCCATAATCCAGCTTGCTACCCCCAAGGTCAAGGTTAAACGTTCTCCATAACTTTTTGACTTCATGGAAGATTTGAAATAATTACTACCAGGAGACTATATGCTTATTATATACATGGCACAACATCAAAGGGTCATGGTCTGTTAAAGGGTAAAAAAGTACACATTCTTGTCAGCTGTGGAAAGGGCGATTTGCTGTCCTTCAGACTGTCTTGTTCAATTTAAAGTGCTTCACTTGATCTATGTAAAAATATTAAAAATTTTATATTTTTTAGACTTTTTTTTACCTCAATGGAGTTCCAATTAAGCCCCCTATCCCAATTTACAGAGGCGTTAAAATACATATGTATAATGATATGCCTTTGTATTTTGATTTAGCTGCGTGTCTGCTCAGTCGTGAAAAAGTTCCTTCCTTCCTTTCTCTATATCTTTTTACTTTCATATTCCTTCTTTCTTTGTCTATGTAATTTACGGATTTTGAAGGCGGTTACGGAGATACAATGTATGATATGTCATTATTTTTTACAATAATTATGACAAAAACAACAACAACAAAAAAACAAAGGAATATCTAGAATTTCAATATATATACATGTATCTGAAATCAAAACATAATAATAAGGCTAAGAATTTTTGTAGCAGTTTTGAAAGATTGATTTTATTTTTCGACCCAATTTGATTTCAATATTGTCCTTTGTTGTGCTGTAAATGAACCCATAATTTCCGGGTTCAAATTCAAATAGTATACATTTAGTCATTAAATTACAATAAAAACGTTAGCATTATATACCGTAAATATAAAAATCATATGTAATGTTTAAAAGAAAACAAAAATGGAATTTTTACGAAATGGTATCTGAATCTGTTATAGAAACAACAATGATTTTCAATGTTAAAAAGATATCAATCTAAACATTTTTCTAGATCTGGAAAAAAGATATACCTTTAACGAAACCCAGTCACTTCAATATGCCAAATTTGTATGGACTACGAGGCCCATTGTAGCAAGCGATCAGACTTTTAGTAAAAGATCTATTATTCTTGTTGTTCCGAGTTTTTGCTAATTTTTTAGCTACCATTAAAAATTCGCCGTTACAAAATAGGCACCCAGAAAAAAAAAGTCAATTCTGGTTGTTTGAAAAATCATAGCACACATTACTTCAGGCCCCATTGTCACGTTTTTTGTTGATTCGTGTGGCAATTTTGTGGTTTATGTGGGCACCGGGGCATGCTTCCCCGGAAAAAAAGTTTTTAATTCTAGGATGCTCTCAGAAGCTTTTTCCCATGTCTTTGACACAGTTTACAGTCTACCACCAAAGTAACATTATTATTGTTGGCATATGTCACCTGAATTTTTTTTAACAAAGATCTGAGCATCCGTAAGTTTAAAGAGGAAAAGGTTTGAATGACCGATCGCCATTAACGGGACGGACAGTTTTAACAATCAAAAATTGAAAATAATTAAATATTTGACAAAAATGAAAAATAAACATTAATTGATTGTTGGGTATAACTGTTAAAATTATAACATTAAAAAATACAAGAAATATTACAATTCAAAGAACCAGGGTGGTATGCAGATTGTGTGCTTAATTATCAATAGATCAGAGTTTCATTTACAAGCGTAATTTGTGGACTGTTTCATTCACTTTATATTTACTTTTAACTAAGGGAAAAACAAAAAAGTTGTTCCAGTTCAAAACTTACTTACAACCGAATAAATATGTTCCATGGACCGCCTCATGTTTGTTCCAGCGGGAACAGACCCTTTTCGGGCCTCTAGACACATCACCTCAAAAACATTGAAAGACAAATGAGCAGCCTCAAGGACTTTACGGCCTCAGTAAGACCCTCATCCAATATTTTCAATAAATGATTCAAATCAACAAATAAAGCTTTTATGTTTATTAAAACTATTTTAGAACTTTTTGGTTGATTGCAGCATGTTTATTGGTTGGTTTGTTTTCCAGCAGTTATCTCCTAAAATTGATTAGTTATTTTCGATTTAAAGTGGTATTTCTGAATAAAAAAAAAATGATCACTAAATAAACAAACGTCTGACTTTTATAGCTTAGCCAATGAGTTATACTTACAATATACAATTAAATTCTCTTCCGTTTCATTTTCAAACAATAGCTAGTGCGCAAATATTATTTACTTCCAAAAAATATAAAAATCATTAATCAAATTTATTCACCATCAATCAGTATTTTAATAAGAAATATTGAATTATTGTCTAACTTATAAAGTTATTTACTACATGTTTTAAAAAAATATCTTTGGATAAAGGACCTTTTTAGTGGATGTAGTGTCTCAATCAAAGTTCTTTAAAATCAGAGGTGACTTTGTCTGAAGGTTGAAGTATAATTAATATGTAAATCGTTCCAGTTGTAATATCTCGAAAATCATCTGATGATTACCTTCTCGATATTCGTTTTCCAGCGTTTAATCAAGAAACAGAACCCGCTTTCAAAATTTATTAAAATTCGCCGATGATTGGCTGTTTGGAAAGGTCTCGAGAAATGACATTGTATTTGGTCACGGGTCAGGTCTAAAGCGGAGCGTTATTTAGAGCAATTTTTATCATTCAACACTACCTATTTGTGACGTATTCATATACGTATTTGTTCACAACATTTGTGAAGATTTCGTAAGTATATTTTCACACGTGTGATGAATTTTATGTGTAAAATCTGCCGTTTCACAAAGGCCAACTTCGACATTTTCTATTTTTATCATTTTTTTTTACTTAAATCCTACGTAGTGTGTTGCACATAGTTATTTATATAACAGCAAGGCAACATTCCAAGGGCACTTTTTCTGATTTTCCTCTAAGAGCAACATATCGAGGACTTGATGCAAATCCGTTGTAACTCATAAGAAGAAGATACAAAACTGTTTTACACATTTGACCTCGTTATAGATAAATATACACATTGAACCATCGTTATACATAAATACACACCTTAAACTCGTTATACATGAATAAACACCTAAACCTTCGTAACACTTCAATATACACCTTAACCTCGTTATACATGAATATACACATTGACCTCGTTATATATGAATATACACATTGACTTCGTCATACATGAATATACACCTTGACCTCGTTATACATGAATATACACCTTAACCTCGTTATACATGAATATACACATTGACCTCGTTATATATGAATATACACATTGACTTCGTCATACATGAATATACACCTTAACCTCGTTATACATGAATAAACACCTTTAACTCGTTATACATGAATATACACATTGACCTCGATATACATGAATGAACACCTTAACCTCGTTATACATGAATATACACCTTGACCTCGTTATACATGAATAAACACCTTGACCTCGTTTCACTTGAATTAACACCTTAATTCGTTATACATGAATATACCTCTTGACCTCTTTATACATAAAAATACCCCTTGACCTCGTTATACATGGATAAAACACATTGACTCGTTATAAATGAATATGATGTCAATTAAATACATTACCTTATCTCACATATAGGGTAGTGTGAGGCCAGCACACGGAGCGTCGTGCCAGCCGTTAAATACGTCAGTCCTGCTTGCAATCACGGCACAGTCTTCGTCACCCTCGCTTCCTGGTTGCCCGGGATACCTAAAATATGCCTCGCATGATTGAACATATTTTCAAAAAAACGTTGAATTTTGAAATAAATGTGTGTTTCATATTTATAACTCAGATAAAATATTAATAGGCCACTTATTGAACTACCCACTGACTGTATGTGTACTTGAATATACGAGAGGTAGATATCAATGTGGCCATACCACGTGACTTTTCGGGTACGGAACACGCCGATTTTTCACCCGATTCAGGTATGTTTTTTATTCATAACTTATTTATTACTCAACCGATTTTGATCAGATAAGGCGCAGAGTACCCGTAATTATATCAGCTTTCCACGGTATATAAAAATTCTGAAAACCCCTGAATGGTTTTTGAGAACATTCGAGTACAGTTTTCTTCTCATAGCCGGGGCCGAGGGGAACGGTACACACTCATTTGTCATAACAAGCGATTTCTTGCAAGTCATATGTTTTTTGTCACTATTTCATAGAAAAATACATGTTAAATCTGATATATTTAAAATGTCCAATATATCGAGTGAATGCAGTGATGTTTAAGCATATTTTCATAAAGTTATGTTGAAATGGTACGGAACACACTGTTATTTAAAAAGATACGGTACACACACAATTTCTGTCTTTAATAAAGTATATGAAAATTTAATTTGAATTATAATGTGAGTGATTTTTTTTCATAGTTATACATTTTATTAATCTGTTTTGCAATGTATCATTATGCTTACAGTTTGATGTAAACAGGATTATTAAAAAAAAATAAAAGAACATTTTGAGAGTACGTAGCGCAAAATTCGATTTTAAATGTTAAACAATTATTATTTGGCTATTAAAATGTTAATATTTTTAGGGAGGGATACGGAAAATACATTCAAAATTGTGTTTGTTTTGTTTTTCATTTTTTGAAAAAATTCTGTATTCTTTTCGGATTATAAAACAAAATTTATGACATTCATGGACATCTGTTTATGGTGCGATTATATTTCCATTTAATTTTTTGTTCGAGTCTAAACCGAGTATGAATATAAAAAAAACAAAGAAGCAGTTAAATGTTGATCGAATCTGGAGAATTTGGAGAAAAAAATGCTGGTTTTGATGAAAAGTGGATTTTTTAAATCACGGAAAGTTTAAAAGTATTTTTCTGCAACATGATATTTGGTATGATTCATCTGCCAGGGTCCCAAACTAACTGCATGTATTTTAATTATCAAAATTATTCTACATATGGACAAAGATATTCCCGCAGTTTTACGTGCAATCAAAAATAAAAAGCCGGATAAATTGAAGAACCCATATGGGGAACAAGGTCTGTTATTATAACGTAACGTAGTTTACACAAAGGTAACCTTGTTACATTGCATGTTAAGAAATTTTGGTGAAATTATGCCTATCTTGGACTTTCATTTAAAGATGCTTTAAAAAACATGATTTCATGGATATGTGTGCTTGCGTGTTTGTGTTAAAAATAAAATGATTAAACAATGTCTCCACGAGGATAGTGCACTCCAAGTACACTTTTGATATTTTTTTTATAATACCCATTTGTAAATTAAATGCTATGGAGGCTGCGTTTTCTGTTTTATATACTACATGAAGTAGGTACGTGACAACCTATGTGACTTCGTTGTTTCAATTTTTTATGTGAGAAAGTTTTCTAACTACCGTAAAGAACGTCGGTCATTCTACTCAGGTGCCCGTTCGTACCTTTATATATACCTAAAGGGGCACTTGTTAAACTGGAAAGTCGCCACATGATCATGTCAGTTTTGGTGAGCCGTGAAACCAAACCAAAAATGACCTATATTACCTGAATTTAAAGTTATTCTTAAAGCTTCATGCCTTTAAACATAAAAAATTAAGCCATGGAAACTACATTATTATTTTTTTGGGTCGCCAGACCAAACAAATAATTGTAGCGAAATTTCAGACTCTGATATGCTTATTTGCAACATCAGAAAGTAGTCCGAACTCCTGGAAGCGGTTACTTACCTTTATAAGTTTACTCTAAACGCCGAAAAAAATAAGGGGAGATCACTGCGTAAAGATAGTCAAATGACAGGCGCATTAATTTTCAAGCCTTCTCAGGGAAGAAAAGTACTTCCCGATTGGTCAAAGGTTTCAAATATTGTGTCATTCTTTACAGATATACATGCAATTATTAAGCTCCATGATTATTTACTCCAGTGTTTAAACGAAATAAATTAAGGGTTACAAACACTAATTTAGAATGATATGGTTTCTTCAGGCTGTTATCGTGTAACTTCCCCGTGGTCGAGGGGATAATTACACGCTCGTTTAGAAAGAGAGAGAGATGTCCTGAGCTCAAATCCCATTTAAGGCAACTCATGTTTTTTTTTTTTTACTTTTGTTTTTTGGGTTTTTTTTTCAAGCCAAATGAACATTGAATTGAATATCAGTGTTGCAATAAGCATTATAGCCAATTTACTACAGTTATAAGACTGGAAACAGCATTGGTGGCACTATACAAAAAACAAATTGGTTTGTAATGTCATAACCTTCACCTTTTCTGACATTCTGAGACCCAAACAAATTCAGCGCCTTCTGTGTTTTGATTTTAGCTGTACCTAGTGACTTACTTATTATCAAACAAAATATAAATATATATAATGTTATCAAGTTATGATATTTTTCAGCGATTTAGGTTCATGACATTGTTTTTTTTTTCTTTTTCAGGAGGAAGCAAAAAGACATATCTTACACTTCACTAAAACTAAAAGAAATTTAAAAAAACAACAACAATAAACACAGCATTATAACAACATTTTCTTTCTTATAGAACAATCATTTGAAACGCAAACTACATGATTCTTTTGAAGATCGAAGTGTTTAAACATACCCTAATGGTGATTTTAAGTACTTAGTAGGACAATTACTCCTGAAATAAAAAATGCACAAATACATATTAACATTTGAAGTAAGCATAATGATACATTGCAAAACAGGTCCCAGGGTTCTTGTTTAAAATTAATAAAATGTATAACTATTGAAAAAAAAATCACTCATATTAGATCTATAATTTAAATTAAATTTTCATTATATTTTATTTTTTAGAATTATTTCAAAGACAGAAATTGTGTGTTGTGTACCGTATCTTTTGAATAACAGTGTGTTCCGTACCATTTTCAACATAACTTTATGAAAATATGCTTAAACATCACTGTATTCACTCGATACATTGGACATAGTAAATATATCAGATTTAACATGTATTTTTTCTATGAAATAGTGACAAAAAACATATGACTTGCTAAGAAATCGCTTGTTATGACAAATGAGTGTGTACCGTTCCCCTCGGCCCCGGCTATGAGAAGAAAACTGTACTCGAATGTTCTCAAAAACCATTCAGGGGTTTTCAGAATTTTTATATACCGTGGAAAGCTGATATAATTACGGGTACTCTGCGCCTTATCTGATCAAAATCGGTTGAGTAATAAATAAGTTATGAATAAGAAACATACCTGAATTGGGTGAAAAATCGGCGTGTTCCGTACCCGAAAAGTCACGTGGTATGGCCACATTGGATATGTGTGACGTGTTTTACGTTGGCAGCTATTATATAAAGTTTAAACATATTCTTTTCATACTCATACATATTTTAACAAAAAATGACAAGAAATAATATCATCCGCTGAAGTAAAGATGCGTAATCCTAAATTACATCTCCTAAGTGATAAATCCTCACCATCATGTGAAATTATTGGACTTATTCCCATCAAATGTCATAAAGTAAAAGATAACATACCATCCTGTGAAATTAACAGGCTTATCTCCCTTGTTACCACACCCATAAACCCTCGATCATCTCGTCATTAGCACCTATCCAAAACTCTTGACCTGGGTGCTGTGAAGCTTAATAAATTATGGCTTATGAGGATACTCACTAGTATTTACAAAATAAATCTTAGTTTCATGTGTGTGTGTGTGTGTGTGTGCGTGTGTGCGTGCGTTCGTGTGAACCGTTAGTTAGATACACCGGGTTTTAGATGCATAATGTTCCGTTGAAGTTACACATACTTTGAAAATTATGGACAATAAATACCATAAATCGTGTTGTCCTTTTCCTACAGTTTACATAACAAGTACATGTTTAGAAATATGAGCAGATGCGATCCTTATCCGTTCAGAATCAGAATGAGTGAAATCGAAGACTATCGGTGTACATGTACTTCTTTAACGTATTCATGAACATGATGAAGCTATTTTTAAAACATAGGCAGTTTTAAGTAAAAATCCAGAGAAAACAAGGGGTCATATATTAAACAAAGAAGACACCTTTCTAGACAATTTATCACACATTTTGAATATGGACGAATGCTACTTACGAGTTCTATACATTCGTTCCAGCAAACTTCTGATAAAAAGATCTTCATCTTTACTTTCAATCATTACTAAATCTGCTCCATGTTGTTGGCAATGATGCTTGAAGGATACATTGAAATATTTACATCATGATATTTGCATAATGATATTAAATGACTTGATGCAAAGGCGCAAGTGCTTATTTAATCGAATAAATGCGCGAGCGAAGGCGACAGTACTTGCTGCATCAATTAATGGGACGCAACTGAGTTTGTTTGACATGAGGAACTGGAAAATTATCAAAGATTTATATACAGTTTATCTAGGCATTAAAACTTTAATTACGATGTTTAAATATATACAAGAAATTCTACCCAGATATATTCCTATAAATAGTTTTATAAGATATGTACTCAGTAAGGGTTTGTTTCACGTATCTTGTCTTTTATTTATTTTTAAATTCAATCAAGCAGAATCTTACAATAGCTTCTGTCCAGTCGCAGCTGATGTTGTCACTGATATAGTAACAGGAACCTCGGAATGTTATCCAAGCATCAGGGCACTGAGATGCCGGACATTCGCACTGCTGTCCATGTGAAACCACCTTCAAAATCATCATCATCGCATCTAAAACAAACAATAACTTATAAACACATTGAATTACAGGCGCCAGTGATGACAGATTGCTACAGTGATGACTGATTGCTGCAGTGATGACATATTGCTGTAGTGATGACAGATTTGCTGCAGTGATGACAGGATTGCTGCAGTGATGACAGATTGCTGCAGTGATGACTGATTGCTGCAGTGATGACAGATTGCTGCAGTGATGACATATTGCTGCAGTGATGACAGATTGCTGCAGTGATGACAGATTGCTGCAGTTGATGACTGATTGCTGCAGTGATGTCAGATTGCTGCAGTGATGTCAGATTGCTGCATGATGACAGATTGCTGCAGTGATGACAGATTGCTGCAGCGATGACAGATTGCTGCAGTGATGACAGATTGCTGCAGTGATGACATATTGCTACAGTGATGGCAGATAGCTGCAGTGATGACAGATTGCTGCAGTGATGATAGATTGCTGCAGTGATGACAGATTTATCATGACAGAAATGATATTAATGCGCAAGGTACATCGAACAAGATTTAATTCACACGCAAACTTAACAGGGCAACTATCAATTAGTGCCCTCGACACTTCCATTAGTCTATCCACGAATATTACTAATTGGCATAATTCCACTTATATCGATACTTATTAAATGGTTGTGTTGGTTCCATTCTATTTGCGATAGCGATTGCGCCAGGACCTATTTAATGGATCCGTAATATTTGTATAAATGTAAGTTTTTTTTTTAGTTTTTTTAAACCAAGCTCTTTGTACTATTTTGTATGTTGATCCAAAGATAACCTTGGCACAATGTTACATGCACGATTAAGTGGGTCAAACATAAACTGTATGACAGAGAAATTACCCAAAATGTGTCTCCTCGTAAACGAAAACACACAAGTTGATATTTGGTTAAAGCTACGTCATATTTGGATATTTCGTATAAAATTTGCATTCTAAATGATGAGAAAAATGTTCTTCGTTGCACAGAAGTGCTTTCTTCGATTTTTGAAAAGTTTTAATCGTTTTTTTTAGATTGGTCGGAACTGCCGAGGGCTTTCATTTGAACAGATCACCAAAATGTGAAAGAGCCATCGTTTAGTACTAGTATTCTTTTCGGTGTTCCTAAAATATTTCTTTTGTCAGTCCCGGACATGTGTTAAATTTTCGTCTTGTAAGTATCTCAACCACATAAATATACTTCACTTGTTTTCTTAAAGTCCTTCAACAAAGCTTGAATTCCATTGAATAATAAGAGGATATTTTTTCGTTTGCGTGAAATATGGAATATATTTTCACGAAACATGATAAAATGCCACATATTTTCACGAGCCGGTACGGCGAGTGAAAATATGAGGCATTTTATCATGTTGAGTGAAAATATATACCATATTTCACAAAAAACGAAAAAATAACCTTTTTATTTAATTTCGTTATCAAAGAAAATGGTAACGAATCCCCTTGCTTGCTACCAACTGCAATTGTACAGCGCGCAGTAATTTATGCGTAAGCACGCGCTGTTTGGCGCTACATTGTGACGTCATGTAAACAACTCTTTAAACGTCTGTACAGCGTTAATTACTGAATTAAAGATATTGGTGTTCGGATTAATTTTCTTAGTTAGACCATTTTCTATCATGCTAGATAGTTTTCAAAACAATATTCAAGAAAAAGTTGTTTTGTATTTATCAGATTTTTCAAACAAAACGGCGAAAGCAGTCCCTTAAAATAAATATGAGTTTTGACTCCGCCCACTTTCATATTTATATTTCATATTTATTTTTAAAAAATATGAAATATATTTGACTGAAATAGCACCATATTTCATGGGTAAAATTAAATAAATATATATATTTCTAGATGTTGATGTAATAACATTTTCTCCCATATGTAAAATAATTGTATGAGCTTCAGAATATAGGGAATCAGAATTAAGGTGGGGATCCATTCGATCTGTTCTAAAGTCACCCTTACCAAAACATTTCACATTTCCTGGTACACACATTTTATATGTATCTTTGTAGAACTTAGCCTGTTCATATAACTTTTCCAAACTTAACAAACTAAGCCAATTTATATAGAATATAATATGAAGAAAAAAAAGAAGAAAAAACAAACAAGATCAACAAGGAAGGGCGGCATTCAATGAATGCATCCCCGACAATCTTGTGTAAATATTGAAAATAAAAAATGTGACCATTTCATAATAATTTATGACATTTATTGATATGACTGTTGCCTAAAAATGATCTTGATTTTGGTCAGAATGTTAGCCACGTTCAGAGCGTTTCTGCTATCATCGGTAGCCTCGAAAAATACATGTTCTGCTTACAACGGCAACCTTTTCGCTTCGACCAGGCTAAATTGGATGCCTGTTACATTTTCAAGAAAAAACCAGTGGTTTAATATTTTGCATGTGTGACCCTAATTGAAGGTTGTTCATGGGTATAACACAAAATCCCCATATTGATTTTGAATTTTAGAAATTTGGAAAGAAAATAAACAACAATTTCACAGATTTTTCCGACGCTGGTAATTTGATCCCGCTCAAAACCTTCAATACAATGGGGTAATGTGTTCAAATTACATAATAGTATCCCCATGTCAATGGACAACAAGCTGTAGCAATAAAATTGTTATTATTTGCGTAATGTGGATATACCAACCATATATATAAGGTCATCCGTCCGTGCAGGGCACAAAAGGCAGCTTTCGTTGTCGTGTATGGACCCCGGACATATCACAAGTCATGCCCTAGGTTAAATTTTAAGCACAAAATGGTAATAATTAACCTCTATTTCAACGAAATATTAGCCAAAGATAGGAATTTTGAGTTAACAGTGGGTCACTGTTCGGCGACCTTTGTGAACCTAAATGTATATTAAACTGAGACAATATGAAAAGAAGGTAGCCCTGAAAAGGGCTGTTATGCCAGCTTTGTGTCGTAGGATAAGAATTTATATAAAATATACATTGTTTTATATTTTGTTATTCATTTCAAATAAAATATATTAACTGTATTTAAATGTGTTATATGTTATTTGACCCCTGATACTGTACCGTTATACTTCTCTATATTTCTATTATTCTTATCCTACGACATATGGGACCAGCCTTTCAAACCGTCACTCTCTGGGCTAGGGGCACACGCACTCTTGCAGAATTTCACGCTTTAGTCAGAACTTCGGCACCTTACTTCATACACGCTAAGTCGTGCCACCTTAAGCGTAATTCCAAGCTGTAGAGGTCATAGAGGGCATGATATATTGTATCATACATGTAACTATATATGCAATATATGCCAATTTAAAAACCGCATCATCGTCTTCATGGAAACTATAGACCAAAGCTCATAAATTAATGATTAATAATTTCAGACGTCATAAAGTATATCACCGTTTAAAGGGAGATCTTGTTGTTTTCTTTACTAGAGAATAGAGATGAATGAGAATAGGACCTAGAATTGACCACTGAGAAACACCAACGATTAAATATAGAGGAATATTTAGATAATAATAATAATAAAAATAATATTGATAATATTAATAATAATAATAATAATAATATTAATAATAATAATAATGATGATGATGATATGGTGATGATGATTGTGGTGATGGTGGTGGTGAGGATGATGATGATGATGATGATGATGAAGTTTTCGGATTTAACTCAATACAGGATTGGAGCAGTACCTCTAGACGCTTGCAGAAATCATGATCACAAAATAGACAAATATCGTTTTTTTCGCCGAATTTTACATTTTTCCTTGATTATCGTACTTGATTCGGTGTGAAAAGATGAATTAGACCTGTTAAAGTTCATTCCGTTGGGTAAAAAGACAAGATTTTAGCATTTTATCATTCAAGCGCCTTGTCCGGTATATACCGGAATACGGTATTTAGTGTGGTGCTCCAATCCTTTTTTTAGTCACAGCCGAAGTTTTCATTTAACCAGAGAACTTATATCATCAATCTTCCATGACAACATATTCAAACTATCAAAAAACATGAATCTAACATACAATTTGTAGTATGGAATTGACACTTACAAAGCTTACACTTGTGTATGAAAATATCTGAAGTATAATGTTTTAAAATTGTTTACATAATCTGATGTAGCTTTTTACATGTATAATGATGAAGGCTCATCAAACGTTCCAAATGTTCCAAATACAAGATCAAGAACAAACAACGCATGACTTTTGAAATTGTTCAGTATTTGATCTAGGGATAATTAAGGTACACTGATATGAAATAATACTAAATACCGAGTTGGTAGAGTTTAATAATGTTTTGAGATTTAAAGCTAGCGGAAGCTACTCGCCTAGCCATTAATTAAATAACGAATGCATACTTAATGTTCATCTGTTTCGGACATTTCACGATCACCAGGCTTAAGTTATCTTTTGTTTACGTTTTGGGTAATGCAGCTGTGTTTAGACTATTTATTTAACTAGACAGATAGCTAAAATGTCTGGTTTATATCCGAATTATTCATTTAACACGATTATGGAACAATAATAAAATATAAGTATGACTGCACTGTATGTAGTAAAAGGAAAGGAAAAGTAAAAAATAGAAACGAAAAGAAAAGGAAAGAAAAATGTAAGAAAAGAAAGAAAAAGAAGAAAACGGATATGCTTAAAGGAACCAAATTATACCAAATAGATTTGTGTAGAATCATGCATGTAAATCATATCGACAAATGAACTAATTGGTAGTTAACAGTTCCACGAGTTAGGAAGTAAGTTCAGAAAAATATATCGCAATTCAGACACTATAAAGTCATTTCTTACTTCCGCCGCTGAGCTCAATAGGTCGAGCATATATAAATAAAAATAGTGGGTGCTTGCTCGATCTTCGTTCAAGGTGTTATCTCTCCGGTAAAATTAATCTCGGACATTGAATCTAATGGTCATTTTTCTTTCCCCTTCATGTGGGATTAGTAGTCTGTCATAAGCGGAGTTACTGGTTAGTTATCCTGGAAAGCCTGTTAGGTGGATTGACAGCCGATATACTACCAAATAATATGTTAACATCGGTGAAAAAATAGAAGAAATATCAAACAAACAAAACTTACAAAACAGCCATGTTTTCATTTTATGATCTAGGTTAGTAAACGAGACGCACATCAAGATAACACGGGGTTAGCGTAGTCTTAATCAGCTAAAAAGAAATTTTATCAACTAATGTTCGTCGTATATGATAAGAAGTAAAAGTACAGTGACTGGATTTTCAGATAATACAAACATTTCATCCAAGCTATACCAATCAACAAATTAACCGACGGAATTCACTTTTCAGGCAAACAAATACTCATTATGGTAGGGTGACAATCTAGACATTTAGAAACTTGAACCCGGACCCATTTTTTAACAAAGCGTATGTTCCAATATATTTGTAGTTTTCAAAACTGCTGACATAAATTTGTGGCGAACAGAGAAATCCAAGATGGCGTCCAAGATAGCCACCAAAAATATGGAAATTACAACCTACGTACTTTTACTTGATTTCAATCAGTTAAAACAGGTGTATTTGTTCTTTTCAAGCATTTTGTATAAAATACATGTTACACATACAACTTTAGTACCTTTTGTAATGTAAAAAATATCATTTAATAGACAAAGGCTGAAAATTGCGGCAAAAAAAGGAGAAAAATTACTAATATTTAAAGATGTCCGAACATTTTTTCCATGTAATAATGCAATTTACAAATTAATTGGTTAACTATGGTTTGTATTACAAGAAACCATTATCTGCATAAAAAATTGTGCTTTGATTTTTGATGTAATTGGATTTTTTTTAGAAAATGTGTATTTATTAAGTGGTTGGGGTAAATTAACAATTTAATCAAAATCACAAATTTATTGTAAGTAACATTTTTTTTATCTATTTAAGTTGTTATTTTATATAACTACTTGAAATACTTAAATCTGTATTTTTTAACAAAATTCAGTAACTTTGGGATAGAGTATGCAATATTGGATTTACTTATAAAAAAAAACACAACAACTAATTATTGACGTCTTTAATGCCATCAAATTGTCAGAGATCTACAATGATAAGTATGTATTGTGTGTATATAAATAAAATATTACTTTTAAGATGTATTGCATTTCGTAATTCACTTCTACTACAGATAAAAAAAAAACAAACATGTAATTTATTTGCATGGATAGTAAAATTTGACTGCAGAATATAACTTGAGCAGTTGCGATATAGGGTAAAAAGGTTGACTTAATAATATCAAGGTTTTTAACCTTGATGTTTCAAACAACTGTTTTTTAATCATTTAATAAGCACATTGAAATGGGAGACCCAACCATGTAAACCAATCTTGAACAATGTTGGTAGTTATGAACAAGGTGATGTCACTAAATAAATCAGGTAAAAGGGTTTTATGCAAAAAAATACGACACCAACATTAGTCAAGTGGTTTCTTAAAAGTTCTCATCGAAAGAAAACGAAACGCAGACATATAATATCTACCACATACATTGTACAGCTGAATGAAAGTCTGACAGCCTATTCGTTATCGCTACCCATTGCATGAAGTATGCTAAAGAAAATGCCTGTGACCAAGGTCATAACTTATGATATATATTTTCCATGTATCTGCTTAAATTTTATATTGAAATTGTGCACCTTCAATTTAGTATGGGGGATATTTTTGATAGTTACAGTAGGGTGAACGTTTCGGTTGTCAAAAATAGCGTTTTTCGTGCGTCCGTTTTTCGTGTAACGTGCGTGCGTATAGCGTGCAACGTGCGTTTGCTGAAACGCTTTCTCAAGCGTGCATCGTTTACAAGCGTTTAACGTTTATCGTTTTCCGTGTATCGTTTTTCGTTTATCGTGCGTCTGAAAGCGTGCGTTTCTTATTCCCAGAAACGTTTAGCGTGCGTCTGCGTTCGTCTAAGCGCTTAAGTACCGTGTTTTGCGTCTGTTACTATTGAGAAGTAAAAGAATTTCTTAGATAGATTTATTATGTAAATTTGTTGTTTCTTAAACATGTAAGAGATGTTCTGTGTCCCTGTCAAAGAATAGAAATATTATATAAAGAAGTATTATTGTGATATTTACATTAAAGTTTTAAAGTTTGTGACCTCGCGGTGAATACTGGTCAGATTTCTACATGCTTAAAGCCGAAGATCAATTAGTTTTAATCCTATTTTACATACGCATAAGATATAATTACTAATTAATTGCAACATTTTTGATATTCAATTCAGCAAACAGATGTTTATATGCGTACCAATATATATTAGATACGAGGTTCGTCAGACATCAAATGATGTGATCAGACTAGCACCCCACCCCCTTTACAAGTTCATCTTCTGACTTTTCATCAAAGACTGTCCGAATCCTATCCGAATACTTTTTAGGGTGATAATTATTTTAGACAGTTTCTTCCTATTTTTCTTGACGGATTTATATTGATATATGTAACAGCCTGGCAGGCACTCGAACCCCTGACACTCGGAATACGATTCCGCGGCTCTTGAGTTCCTCTGAGCTATTCGGCCGCTTACACGTTTTACTTGTTTAAATACTGAATAGTTATAAACCTACTGTATATGCAAATATTTCTTCGAATTTCTAAGGCTTACTTAGCATCGTGAATTAATTTCTAGCTGGGCTATACAAATGTTTGTCAGTCACAGGGTGAGAAAAAAGTGCATCCTGACATGTACTCGAACCCGTGACCATCTAAATACTGTACCGCAGCTGTACCGACATTTGTTAATAGTTTTATTATTTGTACATGTATAGTGAACATTTTACTAATTATACATTGTACATTGTACTATTTCTATATTTTTGTACAAATAAAAATAGCTAGATTATTTTCTAGATAAAAAATTCTATGGTGGCTAATTTATACCATGTTGTACTTTTTAGACATGTCATCACAACAGACAGGCTAAGCCACCTTTTACAAAATTCCCCTATCTGACAGCTCATAATCAAGGCATAGACTACTTTTTTTGTATGTGGCCTGGGCTCTTTACTGTTCACTTACAAACCGTATAACAGATGCACAGGCTGGTCTGGATCCATGCTGGTCGCAAACCCATTATGTTGCTTTTTTTAA